GGCGCAACGCAAGTACCATTCGGAAGAGCTTGCCAGCCCTGCACACCAGAACAGTTGCTCCAACATTGCCCGCGCCCGCACAACATTCCTACAAGTATCAGCTCCTGCGGACAGCCAACATACGCTCGATCACAATCAACTGCTCGAGCAGGAGAAGCTGCAAGAGCAACTGCAAAAGCCATGGAAGCAAGCATGCCTGCAAATCAGCGCCAGGACAGTGGCGCAGCCTGAACCTATGCACACCCCTTGACAGCAAGCTGCAAAAACTCGCACACGGGCATGTTCGGCAGGATAGAAGATGGTGTTCCTGCCTACCCCAACCAACCGCGAACACCAGTACGACGCGCCCTCTGACCCCTGTTTTTTTCAGGGTGCGCAATCGAAATCCTGAGACTCTCGTTCTGAGAGTCTAGCATGGAACCGCGGCGGTGGGCACACGATACAGGCGAGCTACTTCTGCTCGGGGCACATACACACATCACCCAGACGTAACCTTGGAGGTAACTCGAGCAAAAAGCTAACGCAAGCAGAACCAAACATGCACTGGCAATTGAGCGAACACCGAGACGACTTATGTGCTCAGTTTCGCTCCGCACAGTTTAGCGACACTCAACAGTGCTTCGTCGAGCCGCGCCATCCTCTCAAGTTCTCGCGTAGCTCTAGACGGGCTGGGCCCCCAAACAAACGACGCAAGACTTTGGAGGGTCAGACAAAAGCTTCCCGATTTCAGCATGCACAAAGCTCGACCCGACACGACCACGCCTCAGACCCACAGCTCCGCAAGGGTAGCATGTAGCATGCCACATCAGCTTGTCCAAACAGCATTGCTTATGTCTTCGACAGGCATTGGCCTACACAGCTACCACACGACACAAGACCAGGGCCAGGAACTCCGGCTCTCTACTTCGTCGCACAGCGACGATGGTACCTGCACACATCTAGTCCACACCGAAAGATGCACTGCTTTGCTTCTGCACGCGCCACGTCAACCGTCGCACATTTCCAAGGTCTCTTCCGCAGCACGCTGGGCTTTACCGAACTTGTTCACGAGCGAGCGCACCGTTTGGACCTCTGCCGCAACATTGGCGGCTGCCAAGGAGCGCTGGGCATCATAGTCCACGACTGGCAAAAAAGCACGCTTGACTCAACCGACTTCAGCCTACGACCACACAGTTCTACGGTTCTACGCAAGCCATCCTGGCGCTGGAGGGCAGTCAGCACTGCGAAAGCTTGTCATAAGACGGGCCAGATTCCCCAGTCTGTCGCACCGCAATAGCCCCAAGAATCCACGCCGCTTTCGACTACCTTGCACACGAGACTACCAAGAAAATCCGGCCATGTTCCGTCGCGGCAGTGGCAAACACTCGCCTGCGGCTCAACATAGCACCAGGGCCTGCCACTTGATCCACTAGGGCTCGGAGCCTGAACTCATCAGAGACTGCACTGCACAGTCGCTCAAACTACAGCAATACGCATTGCTCGCAAATGCTAAGCTCAACACCGTGGTGCAGCCTGTGTACACGTGCTTGTCCTGAAGAGACGCTTGCCCGCTCCCACCATGGACAGGCTTCTCGGTTGTACGTGCACCCGGACATGTGTAGGTCTTTGGGTCACTGTAGGTCACAAAACACACTGAAAGCTCATGCGCATTAACACCGAAAGCCATCGCCGCTCTGTTGCAAGATGTCCTGCACGAACGCTGCGGCACACAGCCGACCATCGACCTGCAACAAACCACGCCTGAGGAAGGTTTTCAAACCCAAGAGTTCATCACCCGGATCAAAAAACGGACCAAGCGACGATGTTGCTGGCGGAACGCCGTCAAAGGCTTCAGCTGCTCTCGCGACAGGCCGTCGGTCAGCTGCGCCCCAGCACCCAGGGCAAGCAACACGATCCCTCCAAGAAGCACCTGCATGTAAGACCCAATCGCCCAAATCACTCACTCACAGCCAATCTTCTGGCAACAACACAGATTTCGATACTCAAGAGTATTCCGTCGAGCCGTGCCATCCTCTCATGTTCTCGCGTAGCTCTAGACGGGCTGGGCCCCCAAACAAACGACGCAAGACTTTGGAGGGTCAGACAAAAGCTTCCCGATTTCAGCATGCACAAAGCTCGACCCGACACGACCACGCCTCAGACCCACAGCTCCGCAAGGGTAGCATGTAGCATGCCACATCAGCTTGTCCAAACAGCATTGCTTATGTCTTCGACAGGCATTGGCCCACACAGCTACCACACGACACAAGACCAGGGCCAGGAACTCCGGCTCTCTACTTCGTCGCACAGCGACGATGGTACCTGCACACATCTAGTCCACACCGAAAGATGCACTGCTTCTGCACGCGCCACGTCAACCGTCGCACATTTCCAAGGTCTCTTCCGCAGCACGCTGGGCGGGATCCTAACGCGCTCCAGTAAACACGCAAGCACAACCAGCTTAAGGACACGAGTAACCCAGAACAGGCACTCCGCTCTCTTTTTCTTCCCGGTGTGGACTTGAAGATCCAGGCTCAAGACTGGCATCAGCTCGACGGCTGACAAAGAACATCAGCTGCTGCTGACAAAAGACTGCCCCCCTCCCTGCAATCACAGGGCGGGCGGGTGGGAAAACAAGAACACTCAAGCAAGCCTGCTGTGAGCACCTGGGGGGCAACCTCCCCAACAATTGACATCCCAAGCACAACCTTGAGACAGTACTACCCGAACAAGCAAGTTCCAAGTGCACCGGACATGCAACACAGCATGAAGCAACGAAGCACACCTCAAGACATGCACAGCGCTCACGGATCCCACTTCCTGTCCCTGGCAGGCCACCCCGCTTTACCGAACTTGTTCACGAGCGAGCGCACCGTTTGGACCTCTGCCGCAACATTGGCGGCTGCCAAGGAGCGCTGCGCATCATAGTCCACGACTGGCAAAAAAGCACGCTTGACTCAACCGACTTCAGCCTACGACCACACAGTTCTACGGAAGCCATCCTGGCGCTGGAGGGCAGTGAGCACAATGCGAAGGCTTGTCATAAGACGGGCCAGATTCCCCAGTCCGTCGCACCGCAATAGCCCCAAGAATCCACGCCGCTTTCGACTACCTTGCACACGAGACTACCAAGAAAATCCGGCCATGTTCCGTCGCGGCAGTGGCAAACACTCGCCTGCGGCTCAACATAGCACCAGGGCCTGCCACTTGATCCACCAGGGCTCGGAGCCTGAACTCATCAGAGACTGCACTGCACAGTCGCTCAAACTACAGCAATACGCATTGCTCGCAAATGCTAAGCTCAACACCGTGGTGCAGCCTGTGTACACGTGCTTGTCCTGAAGAGACGCTTGCCCGCTCCCACCATGGACAGGCTTCTCGGTTGTACATGCACCCGGACATGTGTAGGTCTTTGGGTCACTGTAGGTCGTAATACACACTGAAACCTCATCGACGCATTAACACCGAAAGCCATCGCCGCTCTGTTGCAAGATGTCCTGCACGAACGCTGCAGCGCACAGCCGACCATCGACCTGCAACAAACCATGCCTGGGCAAGGTTTTCAGACCTTTTTGCTGTAGAAAAACTCAAAGCCCAAATTCAAGCGAATATAAGTTGCACGCACTCCGTAACTATAAAAGTCAATCAACTCATATCGTATCGCATCACTCGGACCCTTCTTTTCTTTCAGGGGGCGCACCGGGTTGCCCGGCCTTAGGCCGCGGGCTAGGCGCACTGCCAACATGCCGTTCGCATGTTAGGCCAACATAGAGCACAGCCTACGGAGTGACTCACAACGGAAGTTGCAAGATCGGCCCAAGGCCCAACCGATCTGAAGTCTCGACGGGTGCGGTGGGAGGGTAGTCGAGACCCGTCTCCCACTCTTGAGTGGCAATGTAACACAACGTGAAGCTTTCACATGCTCTTCAAGGAAATTTCTCACTCAAGAAATCACTGCACGAAAATACATTGCTTAAAGTGGGAGAGGCAGCACACGGGTTAGGGCATTAGGGTTTTTGAGTTTTCTTCACTCGCCGCCACGGCGGCTCGTCAAGAAAACAAAAAGGTACTAGCTGTCGTCGCAGGCTAGACAGCAAAGGTACCAAGAGTCAAACCAGGATCAAAAAACGGACCAAGCGACGATGTTGCTGGCGGAACGCCGTCAAAGGCTTCAGCTGCTCTCGCGACAGGTCGTCGGTCAGCTGCGCCCCAGCACCCAGGACGAGCAACACGATCCCTCCAAGAAGCACCTGCATGGCTACTGTAAGACCCAGTCGCCCAAATCACTCACTCAGAGCCAATCTGAATCTTCTAGCAATACAGATTTCGTCTCTGGCTTCTTCTAAAATCACAGGTATCTCCGACCCGCCAGCCCACACGGCCGTGACACAACATGCAGCCGACACGCCCTCTGGCCATTGATTTCTATCAGGGCGCGCAATCGAAACCCTGAGACTCTCGTTCTGAGAGTCTAGCATGGAACCGCGGCGGTGGGCACACGATACAGGCGAGCTACTCCTGCTCGGAGCACATACACACATCACCCAGACGTAACCTTGGAGGTAACTCGAGCAAAAAGCTAACGCAAGCAGAACCAAACATGCAATGGCAATTAAGCGAACACCGAGACGACTTATGTGCTCGGTTTCGCTCCGCACAGTTTAGCGACACTCAACAGTGCTTCGTCGAGCCGCGCCATCCTCTCATGTTCTCGGGTAGCTCTAGACGGGCTGGGCCCCCAAACAAACGACGCAAGACTTTTTTCAGCGTGCACGAAGCTCGACCCAACACGACCACGCCTCAGACCCACAGCTCCGCAAGGGTAGCATGTAGCAAGCGTGCCACATCAGCTTGTCCAAACAGCATTGCTTATGTCTTCGACAGGCATTGGCCCACACAGCTACCACACGACACAAGACCAGGGCCAGGAACTCCGGCTCTCTACTTCGTCGCACAGCGACGATGGTACCTGCACACATCTAGTCCACACCGAAAGATGCACTGCGGCTGCACGCGCCACGTCAACCGTCGCACATTTCCAAGGTCAATTCCGCAGCACGCTGGGCTTTACCGAACTTGTTCACGAGCGAGCGCACCGTTTGGACCTCTGCCGCAACATTGGCGGCTGCCAAGGAGCGCTGCGCATCATAGTCCACGACTGGCAAAAAAGCACGCTTGACTCAATCGACTTCAGCCTACGACCACACAGTTCTACGGAAGCCATCCTGGCGCTGGAGGGCAGTGAGCAATGCGAAAGCTTATCATAAGACGGGCCAGATTCCCCAGTCCGTCGCAGCGCAATAGCCCCAAGAATCTAGCCGCTTTCGACTACCTTGCACACAGACTACCAAGCAAATCCGGCCATGTTCCGTCGCGGCAGTGGCAAACACTCGCCTGCGGCTCAACATAGCACCAAGGCCTGCCACTTGAGCCACTCGGACTCGGAGCCTGAATGTATCAAAGACTGCACTGCACGTTCGCTCAAACTACAGCAACACGCATTGCTCGCAAACGCTTAGCCCAACACCGTGGTGCCGCCTGTGTACACGTGCTTGTCCTGAAGAGACGCTTGCCCGCTCCCACCATGGACAGGCTTCTCGGTTGTACATGCACCCGGACTTGTGTAGGTCTTTGGGTCACTGCAGGTCGTAATACACACTGAAACCTCATCGACGCATTAACACCGAAAGCCATCGCCGCTCTGTTGCAAGATGTCCTGCACGAACGCTGCGGCACACAGCCGACCATCGACCTGCAACAAACCACGCCTGAGGAAGGTTTTCAAACCCAAGAGTTCATCACCCGGATCAAAAAACGGACCAAGCGACGATGTTGCTGGCGGAACGCCGTCAAAGGCTTCAGCTGCTCTCGCGACAGGTCGTCGGTCAGCTGCGCCCCAGCACCCAGGACAAGCAACACGACCCCTTCCAAGAAGCACCTGCATGGCTACTGTAAGACCCAGTCGCCCAAATCACTCACTCAGAGCCAATCTGAATCTTCTAGCAATACAGATTTCGTCTCTGGCTTCTTCTAAACTCACAGGTATCTCCGACCCGCCAGCCCACACGGCCCCTCTGGCCCTTGATTTCTATCCGGGCACGCGATCGAAATCCTGAGACTCTCGTTCTGAGAGTCTAGCATGGAACCGCGGCGGTGGGCACACGATACAGGCGAGCTACTTCTGCTCGGAGCACATTCACACTTCACCCAGACTTAACCTTGGAGGTAACTCGAGCAACAAGCTAACGCAAGCAGAACCAAACATGCACTGGCAATTGAGAAGCGAACACCGAGACGACTTATGTGCTCAGTTTCCCTCCGCACAGTTTAGCGACACTCAACAGTGCTTCGTCGAGCCGCGCCATCCTCTCAAGTTCTCGCGTAGCTCTAGACGGGCTGGGCCCCCCAAACAAACGACGCAAGACTTTGGAGGGTCAGACAAAAACAACCCGATTTCAGCGTGCACAAAGTCACAAAGCTCGACCCAACACGACCACGCCTCAGACCCACAGCTCCGCAAGGGTAGCATGTAGCAAGCATGCCACATCAGCTTGTCCAAACAGCATTGCTTATGTCTTCGACAGGCATTGGCCCACACAGCTACCACACGACACAAGACCAGGGCCAGGAACTCCGGCTCTCTACTTCGTCGCACAGCGACGATGGTACCTGCACACATCTAGTCCACACCGAAAGATGCACTGCTTCTACACGCGCCACGTCAACCGTCGCACATTTCCAAGGTCTCTTCCGCAGCACGCTGGGCTTTACCGAACTTGTTCACGAGCGAGCGCACCGTTTGGACCTCTGCCGCAACATTGGCGGCTGCCAAGGAGCGCTGCGCATCATAGTCCACGACTGGCAAAAAAGCACGCTTGACTCAATCGACTTCAGCCTACGACCACACAGTTCTACGGAAGCCATCCTGGCGCTGGAGGGCAGTGAGCAATGCAAAAGCTTGTCATAAGACGGGCCAGATTCCCCAGTCCGTCGCACCGCAATAGCCCCAAGAATCCACGCCGCTTTCGACTACCTTGCACACAGACTACCAAGCAAATCCGGCCATGTTCCGTCGCGGCAGTGGCAAACACTCGCCTGCGGCTCAACATAGCACCAAGGCCTGCCACTTGATCCACTAGGGCTCGGAGCCTGAACTCATCAGAGACTGCACTGAACAATCGCTCAAACTACAGCAATACGCACTGCTCGCAAATGCTAAGCTCAACACCGTGGTGCAGCCTGTGTACACGTGCTTGTCCTGAAGAGACGCTTGCCCGCTCCCACCATTAATCAGCTTCTCGGTTGTACATGCACCCGGACTTGTGTAGGTCTAGGGGTCACTGCAGGTCGTAATACACACTGAAACCTCATCGACGCATTAACACCGAAAGCCATCGCCGCTCTGTTGCAAGATGTCCTGCACGAACGCTGCGGCACACAGCCGACCATCGACCTGCAACAAACCACGCCTGAGGAAGGTTTTCAGACCCAAGAGTCAATCACCTGGGTCAAAAAACGGACCAAGCGACGATGTTGCTGGCGGAACGCCGTCAAAGGCTTCAGCTGCTCTCGCGACAGGTCGTCGGTCAGCTGCGCCCCAGCACCCAGGACAAGCAACACGACCCCTCCAAGAAGCACCTGCATGGCTACTGTAAGACCCAGTCGCCCAAATCACTCACTCAGAGCCAATCTGAATCTTCTAGCAATACAGATTTCGTCTCTGGCTTCTTCTAAACTCACAGGTATCTCCGACCCGCCAGCACGCGCCGTGACACAACATGCAGCCGACACGCCCTCTGGCCATTGATTTCTATCAGGGCGTGCAATCGAAATCCTGAGACTCTCGTTCTGAGAGTCTAGCATGGAACCGCGGCGGTGGGCACACGATACAGGCGAGCTACTTCTGCTCGGAGCACATTCACACTTCACCCAGACTTAACCTTGGAGGTAACTCGAGCAAAAAGCTAACGCAAGCAGAACCAAACATGCACTGGCAATTGAGAAGCGAACACCGAGACGACTTATGTGCTCAGTTTCCCTCCGCACAGTTTAGCGACACTCAACAGTGCTTCGTCGAGCCGCGCCATCCTCTCAAGTTCTCGCGTAGCTCTAGACGGGCTGGGCCCCCAAACAAACGACGCAAGACTTTGGAGGGTCAGACAAAAACAACCCGATTTCAGCGTGCACAAAGCTCGACCCAACACGACCACGCCTCAGACCCACAGCTCCGCAAGGGTAGCATGTAGCAAGCATGCCACATCAGCTTGTCCAAACAGCATTGCTTATGTCTTCGACAGGCATTGGCCCACACAGCTACCACACGACACAAGACCAGGGCCAGGAACTCCGGCTCTCTACTTCGTCGCACAGCGACGATGGTACCTGCACACATCTAGTCCACACCGAAAGATGCACTGCGGCTGCACGCGCCACGTCAACCGTCGCACATTTCCAAGGTCTCTTCCGCAGCACGCTGGGCTTTACCGAACTTGTTCACGAGCGAGCGCACCGTTTGGACCTCTGCCGCAACATTGGCGGCTGCCAAGGAGCGCTGCGCATCATAGTCCACGACTGGCAAAAAAGCACGCTTGACTCAATCGACTTCAGCCTACGACCACACAGTTCTACGGAAGCCATCCTGGCGCTGGAGGGCAGTGAGCAATGCGAAAGCTTGTCATAAGACGGGCCAGATTCCCCAGTCCGTCGCACCGCAATAGCCCCAAGAATCCACGCCGCTTTCGACTACCTTGCACACGAGACTACCAAGCAAATCCGGCCATGTTCCGTCGCGGCAGTGGCAAACACTCGCCTGCGGCTCAACATAGCACCAAGGCCTGCCACTTGATCCACTAGGGCTCGGAGCCTGAACTCATCAGAGACTGCACTGCACAGTCGCTCACACTACAGCAATACGCATTGCTCGCAAATGCTAAGCTCAACACCGTGGTGCAGCCTGTGTACACGTGCTTGTCCTGAAGAGACGCTTGCCCGCTCCCACCATGGACAGGCTTCTCGGTTGTACATGCACCCGGACATGTGTAGGTCTTTGGGTCACTGCAGGTCGTAATACACACTGAAACCTCATCGACGCATTAACACCGAAAGCCATCGCCGCTCTGTTGCAAGATGTCCTGCACGAACGCTGCGGCACACAGCCGACCATCGACCTGCAACAAACCACGCCTGAGGAAGGTTTTCAGACCCAAGAGTCAATCACCTGGATCAAAAAACGGACCAAGCGACGATGTTGCTGGCGGAACGCCGTCAAAGGCTTCAGCTGCTCTCGCGACAGGTCGTCGGTCAGCTGCGCCCCAGCACCCAGGACAAGCAACACGACCCCTCCAAGAAGCACCTGCATGGCTGCTGTAAGACCCAGTCGCCCAAATCACTCACTCAGAGCCAATCTGAATCTTCTAGCAATACAGATTTTGTCTCTGGCTTCTTCTAAACTCACAGGTATCTCCGACCCGCCAGCCCACACGCCCGTGACACAACATGCAGCCGACACGCCCTCTGGCCATTGATTTCTATCAGGGCGCGCAATCGAAATCCTGAGACTCTCGTTCTGAGAGTCTAGCATGGAACCGCGGCGGTGGGCACACGATACAGGCGAGCTACTTCTGCTCGGAGCACATTCACACTTCACCCAGACTTAACCTTGGAGGTAACTCGAGCAACAAGCTAACGCAAGCAGAACCAAACATGCACTGGCAATTGAGAAGCGAACACCGAGACGACTTATGTGCTCAGTTTCCCTCCGCACAGTTTAGCGACACTCAACAGTGCTTCGTCGAGCCGCGCCATCCTCTCAAGTTCTCGCGTAGCTCTAGACGGGCTGGGCCCCCAAACAAACGACGCAAGACTTTGGAGGGTCAGACAAAAACAACCCGATTTCAGCGTGCACAAAGCTCGACCCAACACGACCACGCCTCAGACCCACAGCTCCGCAAGGGTAGCATGTAGCAAGCATGCCACATCAGCTTGTCCAAACAGCATTGCTTATGTCTTCGACAGGCATTGGCCCACACAGCTACCACACGACACAAAACCAGGGCCAGGAACTCCGGCTCTCTACTTCGTCGCACAGCGACGATGGTACCTGCACACATCTAGTCCACACCGAAAGATGCACTGCGGCTGCACGCGCCACGTCAACCGTCGCACATTTCCAAGGTCTCTTCCGCAGCACGCTGGGCTTTACCGAACTTGTTCACGAGCGAGCGCACCGTTTGGACCTCTGCCGCAACATTGGCGGCTGCCAAGGAGCGCTGCGCATCATAGTCCACGACTGGCAAAAAAGCACGCTTGACTCAATCGACTTCAGCCTACGACCACACAGTTCTACGGAAGCCATCCTGGCGCTGGAGGGCAGTGAGCAATGCGAAAGCTTATCATAAGACGGGCGAGATTCCCCAGTCCGTCGCACCGCAATAGCCCCAAGAATCCACGCCGCTTTCGACTACCTTGCACACAGACTACCAAGCAAATCCGGCCATGTTCCGTCGCGGCAGTGGCAAACACTCGCCTGCTGCTCAACATAGCACCAAGGCCTGCCACTTGATCCACTAGGGCTCGGAGCCTGAACTCATCAGAGACTGCACTGCACAGTCGCTCACACTACAGCAATACGCATTGCTCGCAAATGCTAAGCCCAACACCGTGGCGCAGCCTGTGTACACGTGCTTGTCCTGAAGAGACGCTTGCCCGCTCCCACCATGGACAAGCTTCTCGGTTGTACATGCACCCGGACTTGTGTAGGTCTTTGGGTCACTGCAGGTCGTAATACACACTGAAACCTCATCGACGCATTAACACCGAAAGCCATCGCCGCTCTGTTGCAAGATGTCCTGCACGAACGCTGCGGCACACAGCCGACCATCGACCTGCAACAAACCACGCCTGAGGAAGGTTTTCAGACCCAAGAGTTAATCACCTGGATCAAAAAACGGACCAAGCGACGATGTTGCTGGCGGAACGCCGTCAAAGGCTTCAGCTGCTCTCGCGACAGGTCGTCGGTCAGCTGCGCCCCAGCACCCAGGACAAGCAACACGACCCCTCCAAGAAGCACCTGCATGGCTACTGTAAGACCCAGTCGCCCAAATCACTCACTCAGATCCAATCTGAATCTTCTAGCAATACAGATTTCGTCTCTGGCTTCTTCTAAACTCACAGGTATCTCCGACCCGCCAGCCCACACGCCCGTGACACAACATGCAGCCGACACGCCCTCTGGCCATTGATTTCTATCAGGGCGCGCAATCGAAATCCTGAGACTCTCGTTCTGAGAGTCTAGCATGGAACCGCGGCGGTGGGCACACGATACAGGCGAGCTACTTCTGCTCGGAGCACATTCACACTTCACCCAGACTTAACCTTGGAGGTAACTCGAGCAACAAGCTAACGCAAGCAGAATCGAACACCGAGACGACTTATGTGCTCAGTTTCCCTCCGCACAGTTTAGCGACACTCAACAGTGCTTCGTCGAGCCGCGCCATCCTCTCAAGTTCTCGCGTAGCTCTAGACGGGCTGGGCCCCCAAACAAACGACGCAAGACTTTGGAGGGTCAGACAAAAACAACCCGATTTCAGCGTGCACAAAGCTCGACCCAACACGACCACACCTCAGACCCACAGCTCCGCAAGGGTAGCATGTAGCAAGCATGCCACATCAGCTTGTCCACACAGCATTGCTTATGTCTTCGATGTCTTCGACAGGCATTGGCCCACACAGCTACCACACGACACAAGACCAGGGCCAGGAACTCCGGCTCTCTACTTCGTCGCACAGCGACGATGGTACCTGCACACATCTAGTCCACACCGAAAGATGCACTGCGGCTGCACGCGCCACGTCAACCGTCGCACATTTCCAAGGTCTCTTCCGCAGCACGCTGGGCTTTACCGAACTTGTTCACGAGCGAGCGCACCGTTTGGACCTCTGCCGCAACATTGGCGGCTGCCAAGGAGCGCTGCGCATCATAGTCCACGACTGGCAAAAAAGCACGCTTGACTCAATCGACTTCAGCCTACGACCACACAGTTCTACGGAAGCCATCCTGGCGCTGGAGGGCAGTGAGCAATGCGAAAGCTTATCATAAGACGGGCGAGATTCCCCAGTCCGTCGCACCACAATAGCCCCAAGAATCCACGCCGCTTTCGACTACCTTGCACACAGACTACCAAGCAAATCCGGCCATGTTCCGTCGCGGCAGTGGCAAACACTCGCCTGCGGCTCAACATAGCACCAAGGCCTGCCACTTGATCCACTAGGGCTCGGAGCCTGAACTCATCAGAGACTGCACTGCGCAGTCGCTCACACTACAGCAATACGCATTGCTCGCAAATGCTAAGCCCAACACCGTGGTGCAGCCTGTGTACACGTGCTTGTCCTGAAGAGACGCTTGCCCGCTCCCACCATGGACAGGCTTCTCGGTTGTACATGCACCCGGACTTGTGTAGGTCTTTGGGTCACTGTAGGTCGTAATACACACTGAAACCTCATCGACGCATTATCACCGAAAGCCATCGCCGCTCTGTTGCAAGATGTCCTGCACGAACGCTGCGGCACACAGCCGACCATCGACCTGCAACAAACCACGCCTGAGAAGGTTTTCAGACCCAAGAGTCAATCACCTGGATCAAAAAACGGACCAAGCGACGATGTTGCTGGCGGAACGCCGTCAAAGGCTTCAGCTGCTCTCGCGACAGGTCGTCGGTCAGCTGCGCCCCAGCACCCAGGACAAGCAACACGACCCCTCCAAGAAGCACCTGCATGGCTACTGTAAGACCCAGTCACCCAAATCACTCACTCAGAGCCAATCTGAATCTTCTAGGATTTCATCTCTATTTTCTTCTAAACTCACAGGTATCTCCGACACGCCAGCCCACACGGCCGTGACACAACATGCAGTCGACACTAGCAGTCACTAGCTCTTGTTTTCTATCAGGGGTGCACAATCGAAAGCCTGTCTCTAGGCTCGACATGTACAAACTACCCACCCTCCAGCCCATAAGCGCCGTGACACTTCTGGGATCCTGTCGAACCCTGACCCTGAACCCAGAACACAACAGGCACACCAGTCCCGGAGAAGCAACCCCCTGACGAGGCTGATGGGGGATACATTTCTGTCAGCGTGCGGCTGATGCGTCGTTTGTCAGCTCTTAAGCTGATGTCCCATGCTGGCTAAGCAACTGTTTTAGCCATGTGGTCAGTGTAGATTCTGGCTGTACTTACCACCACCTTCAAAAGGAGAGAGCGTCGCTTGCTGTGGTCGTGCTTGGTTTCTCGTAAACGGTGACCCCTGCCCAGATTTTTGATCGGGCAAGGGCGGGCGGGAGATCGAAAATCAGGGCGGCTCCCGTGCTGCTCCCGGTCTACACACCGGTAAAACCACAGTCACTGTGCTTCAGACACACAGCTGCAAGTATGAACATGCCGCACTATCCAGGCACTCCGCACTCCCCAGAGACTCCCTGGCCTAGCCTGCCTCGCAACACACGACAACATCTGCATGCCACCACTCCCGGACACTGCAAAGACATACAAGGACACACCCTAGACAAACCACCCTCGCAAAGATTCTATCGGATCCCTCTTTTCGCCCCTCCGGTTCCCTCCGGTTCGACCCGCAAGACGCAAGTGCACACACGCTCTTTTGTTCGTGGGATGCGCAAATGCCGACAGTCTTTCCTGGCCTAGCAAGGAACAACAAACTTCCTGGAGGCGATTGAGGCGGCGGTGGGCTCAGAAGAAAGCCTACGGCTGACCTACCTGGATCTAGCTCTAGGCTCTGGGCAGGGCCGGAGCCACAAGCTGCAACTATACAAATGCTTCGCAAACTTATGGTACAATTCCGACACGAGACGCTTAAGGTGCTGCGCTTCGCTCCGCACTGTTCAGCGAGACTCTCGTTCTGAGAGTCTAGCATGGAACTGCAGCGGCGGGCACACGATAACTAAAGGCGAGCTGCTTCTGCTCGGAGCATATTCACACTTCACCGAGACTTAGCCTTGAAAGTAGGATTCTTACGCAGACAAGAAACAAGCGGACTGCAACCTTCATTTTGCCCCACAGCGCAATGAGGTCTTGTCACGTTGGTAAGGGGAAGAGACGACCCAGGGCCAACGACGGACAGTCCAGCCCGAGCCGAGCGAAGCTATGCAAGGCAACATACGGCCCTACATTAGTAGCAGGCCCTGTTACAAGGTCGCAACGAAAACCTCAACTCCCCTCTCACAACCCAGGTTTTCTGTGGGCGCGGAGGGCAAGAAACAGAAAACTTGGAGCACACCTGATGTGAAACAGGATTTCTTCTGCTCACAGCATTCGAGCAGCTGATTCTGGCTGCACATGCAGTGAATAAGTTCCACAGGCAAACGCGACGCAAGCGTCTGCACTGCCACAAGCCCATGCACACTCAAAGCAAGCCGTGACACTGCACACATCACAATGCACTGAAGAACTGCTAGCCAATCCCACTTTGATGCATGCTGCGCATGCACCCCGCAACTCGAGCAAAAAGCTAACCGGCTAACGCAAGCAGAACTAAATATGCAATGGCAACTGAGACACGAACACCGACACGACTTAGGCGCTCCGCTTCGCTCCGCACAACTTAGCGACACTCAACAGTACTTCGACGAGCCGTGCCATCCTCTCATGTTCTCGGGTAGCTCAAGAGGGGTTTCAGCATGCACAAAGCTTGACCCGACACGATCACGCCTCAGACCCACAGCTCTGCAAGGTTGGCAAGGGTAGCATGTAGCATGCCACATCAGCTTGTCCACACAGCATTGCTTATGTCTTCGATGTCTTCGACAGGCATTGGCCCACACAGCTACCACACGACACAAGACCAGGGCGAAGAACTCCCGCTCTCTACTTCGTCGCGCAGCGGCGATGGTACCTCCACCATATGCACACCGAAAGATGCACTGCGGCTGCACGCGCCACGTCAACCGTCGCACATTTCCAAGGTCTCTTCCGCAGCACGCTGGGCTTTACCGAACTTGTTCACGAGCGAGCGCACCGTTTGGACCTCTGCCGCAACATTGGCGGCTGCCAAGGAGCGCTGCGCATCATAGTCCACGACTGGCAAAAAAGCACGCTTGACTCAATCGACTTCAGCCTACGACCACACAGTTCTACGGAAGCCATCCTGGCGCTGGAGGGCAGTGAGCAATGCGAAAGCTTATCATAAGACGGGCGAGATTCCCCAGTCCGTCGCACCGCAATAGCCCCAAGAATCCACGCCGCTTTCGACTACCTTGCACACAGACTACCAAGCAAATCCGGCCATGTTCTGTCGCGGCAGTGGCAAACACTCGCCTGCGGCTCAACATAGCACCAAGGCCTGCCACTTGAGCCACTCGGGCTCGGAGCCTGAATTTATCACAGACTGCACTGCACGTTCGCTCAAACTACAGCAACACGCATGGGAAGTAGTTTAGCTACGCGGCCTATCACAACACCAAACCAAGGAAGCAAGCTCGCACACAGGACTGTCAGCACAATCACTTACAAGCACACATGCAGCAACGCAGTGCTCCTCACTTTTCAACCCTGAGATGGTGGAGATACGACGAGTCTCATGCCATTCTGAAAGCTGCAAGTGAGACTCTCGACCTTCGAACGGCCCAAACAAGAAGAGATCCCTCCTCAGAGAATGCCAGGGCCGAGTCGAACATCCCCACCCCCCACATTTTGCAGAATCGCAGCGGGCGGGAAAATGTTAAAGAACGGGCTTCACTACGGTTCCTACTCTCAAACTGAAGCGGCCACTTTTCCTTGTGGGTCGCTGTGTCCGCTGGGTCTCGAGCCTGCACGTCACGGGCGTGAGTCCGGCTGTTCCTGTGCATTAGCTACACTGCACTAGCTGTGTTACTGTTCCTGGCAGAATGTTTAACAGAAAAGCAAAATGTTCACACAAGGCTTCGCTAGCAGGTAGCACATAAACGCTCCTGCACCTATGAGCCTTGCAGGCAGAGCCACATGCTTCCAGAGCAACAGCAAACATGTAACATGTCCGCAGGTGTTCAAGCGCTTGCACAAATACACACAAGCGCAAGACCAGGCATCAGCTACGCACATACTTCCCACTTAGATACACGCACGCGTGCACCTCGCTGCTCGCAAACGCTGAGCCCAACACCGTGGTGCAGCCTGTGTACACGTGCTTGTCCTGAAGAGACGCTTGCCCGCTCCCACCATGGACAGGCTTCTCGGTTGTACATGCACCCGGACTTGTGTAGGTCTTTGGGTCACTGCAGGTCGTAATACACACTGAAACCTCACCGACGCATTAACACCGAAAGCCATCGCCGCTCTGTTGCAAGATGTCCTGCACGAACGCTGCAGCGCACAGCCGACCATCGACCTGCAACAAACCACGCCTGAGAAGGTTTTCAGACCCAAGAGTCAATCACCTGGATCAAAAACGGACCAAGCGACGATGTTGCTGGCGGAACGCCGTCAAAGGCTTCAGCTGCTCTCGCGACAGGTCGTCGGTCAGCTGCGCCCCAGCACCCAGGGCAAGCAACACGATCCCTCCAAGAAGCACGTGCATGGCTACTGTAAGACCCAATCGCCCAAATTTCTCACTCAGAGCCAATCTGGATCTTCTAGCAACACAGACTTCGTCCCTATCTTCTTCTAAACTCACAGGTACACCCCGACCCGCCAGCCCACACTGCCGTGACACAACATGCAGTCGACGCGCCCTCTCACTCTTGTTTTTCTACGAGGGATGCGCAATCGAAATCCTAAGACTCTCGTTCCGAGATTCTAGCATGGAACCTCATCAAACTTCCCGGAGGCGAATGGGGCGGCGGTGGGCACAGGAGAAATGCAAGCCACTTCTGCCCGCAGCCTAACACACAACACCTCGGAGGCAACTCGAGCAGAAGGCTAGCAGAACTAAATATGTAGCTGCGGCTGTGAAACGAACACCGAGACGACTTATGTGCTCCGCTTCGCTCTGCACAGTTTAGCATCGGACCGCCGATGCTCGGCACAGGTTGTCCATTTCAGAACGAGGGAAGGTGCACACCAACACACACTAGCACACGTTTCACTATTCGCTCATGAGGCACAACACTCCTTTTGAACCAGACACACAAAGGCGTGAGAGGGACCCAGGCAGGGTCCCATCACACACGACACTGCCTACACAACTCCGTCCCTAGACGGCCACTTGGGGCTCTCTCGGGGCGGGCGGGTGGGTTTTCCTTGTGAACCCTCTACAATCTCGCACTCACTCAACACAAGCGGCCTTTTTGGAATGATGGGACGATGTCCGAAAGCCTAAGCAGAAGCCTCCAGGGACAGCAGTCCCACTCCACCCTCCTTTAAGGGCGGGCGGGTGGGAAAATGAAATCAACTGGCTGCACAAGCTGTCGACAGCAGCCCACCTCTAACCACACAAACACGATCGGACTGCTGGACAGCTGTGCACACACAACTATATAGAAGACGTTCGCGCGAGATAGAGAGAGTCGCAGTCACGTGAAATAACTGCGCAACGAGGTCGGTTCGGCACATCACACACTGCACTTGCTGCTGCAAGCTGTGGACTGATGCATAACACATACATGGCGCGGTTGCATGTGAGTGTTCGTCGCATGCACTTGGCTGAGTGTCGGCGCGTGCAAGCGTACAACCCCCCACCACTTCAAGGGCAGGCGGGCGGGGCAAAACAAGAAGACACACCACACAAAGTGTTCAGCCACACAGGAAACCACCAGAGCATTCTCTAGCACCTGCTGGCCTGGACATGCATCAACATGCATCATCATGCATCATGAGCACGTGCTGCACGGCAATCACAACAGGGCGACACAACACGGAACGCAACTGCCAACGCAAAACCACAAGCATGCACAGGCTTAGTAGGTTTTACTTTCAGTCTGGACAGCGGGCAATGAAGCGAAGTCAACAAGTTGAAGTAGGCATGTCTTCGGCAGGCACACAGTTAGCACTGGACACAGGTTCTTACACACGCACGAAGTGGCTATCTCTCCTTTTCATCAGTCGGACATGCCTGTAATCCTTCGACCCGAGGCAGGAGAAACTCTTCCCGGGCGGTCCGGTGGGAAAATCAAGAACACTATAGACCAAAGCATAGCGATGTTGCCAGCACCTGACATTTGTACACCACACAGAAGCACTGCTGGCATCAACTGCAACTGTACAGCACTGCATGTACATGTGAGAGACGGGTGTACAGCCAAACCCAGCCGAACCGCTACACCCGACATGAGCACGGAATATCTCATGGACAGCACCCTAGCCTGTCCAGCCCTAGTCGTAGCCTAGCCGCCCGTTTACACAAACACCCCAAATCTTCAGCACACAGAAAGGCCCACCCAACCCCCCAACCCTCTACGAAGTCAGAGAAAGCAGCAATGACGAACCTAACGAACCTTCCCCTGCGGTCTCCTTCATTTTTGAGATGCGGTGGCAGAGTTCTTGGGTTTCAGAGCACCGGGCGATATTGCAACCGCTTATCGAGTCGACCCAAACCCAACCTCTACATTTTGCAGGGTGCGGCGGGCGGGAAAGGCAAGATGTCCCTACTTTGACTTGGCTGGGCCTATCGCCCAACCCACTGCCTGCTAACCAGCAGTTGCAACTGTGAGCACACAACGCTGCGAGCTGTCAAGCAGTCACACCAACAAGTTCATGCAGACATGCAGTCGCTCACACACATGACATGGTGCTATAGATCCCACTTTTCTGCACGCACGCGTGCATCTCGCAGGACGCGAAAGATGCTCCGTCTGCCAACACAACTGCCACCTTGGTGACTTTCGAAACTGCAACTGGACTGCAACTCTGCTTTCCAACGACACAATGCTTGAAACATCACACCTTGACCACCGGTAGCTCACCTGCATGGCTGCTTGGTGCACCTGCCGCTGAACCGTCACTGCTGTCCTCCATCCCTTGTTCCACCTCCTCCCTTTCCACCTCCTCCAAATCTGCAGCGTCTGCACTCAATCCTGCACCATCATCTTGCCGCTCAGGCACAAGAGCACCTGAGCGCACTGGCTTGCGAAAACCATCGCGCGACGCCATCGAAGGCTGCCCACCCACACCATTGGAAAGGGAGGCAGCGGTTGCGCTGCCCCTAAGCAAGATCTCCTGCTCCTGTCCGAGAACACTTTGCCGAGTTCCAGCAGCGTTGTCATCATAGAGTCGCGGGTTCTCAGGGCCGTCTAAGCTGTTGTCACTGTAATCAGCAGGCGGACACTCTCGCGGAAAAGGATTTGCATCGTCGAAAGATTGGTACTGCCAACATGTTACTTGATGATAAGCGAGCAAAAGTAGCGATAGGAAACCACACCTGCGGCGGAGCTCTCCATACGTTCCTGAAACCGACAGCACACAAATCGTTGTCAGTTGTTTGCCAACCGCGGCTACATTGCTACATGTCACTAGGGCTAGGGCACTATACAGCAGGTCATACAGCACGAGTACACCTAATCGCTTGCGCGGTCAAGCACGTCCGCGAACTAAGAAATCCACGCCTCTGCCCCACATCCCAGCTGGAGGGATCCTAGCGCGCCGCCAAGAAATCCGAACAAGAAACCAACCAAGCCCCATGGACAAGACCAGCAAACCCAACCACAACCCACCCTTGCAGTGAACCCCCACTCTCTTCAACCGGTGGATCTTACGGAGCTTTATCTGAAACAATGAAGACATCAGCTCCGATGCTGATACATCGCTTCAGACACAGGGTGGGAGGGTGGGACAACAAGACTGCCGTCCGACAGCACTTGCAGGGACTCGAGCAAGCACACTCGATACAACACACTGGCACACGGACAACTGAAGCAAGCACACACGCAACACCCAAGTGCAAACACGGGTTGCCTGCAATGTCTGCAAGCACACAAGGCACTCTCGGATCCCACGTCGCGCCCAGCAAGCGTTCAAGTGTTCACCTACCGCACCCCAACCGCCACTGAGCGCATGACCAAAAGAATGCAACAGTACACAGCGGCGGAACAGATACCTGGAAAAATCACGACCGTGGCGAGATGATGGATAGCATTCTGCGACAATCCGGCAGCCAAGAAACCATGGAGCATACCCCAATGATGTCGTCCAGCCACAACCTGCCAGAAGATTCCACAAGCACAGAAGCGCCTCTGCTTCTGCCTTTGACCCGGGAAATGATTGCGCACCCTGGGCAAAGCACCAGCGGCAGGATGCACAACGGAAAGCCTCAGTTGCGGCAGCAACGAACGGCGACAACACCCAACGACAACTGATTGGACGCAATGTGTAAGTGTAAGGCAACGGCACATAGGCACCCGGCCACCAACAGGCGAAAATTCTGCTCTGCTGAAAGGTGTCCTGAGCACAGCTGCAGTAAACATTATGTACTTTACAGCACCGCGGCTTTGACCCCTGCCAGTTGGTGTTATCTGTTGTTGCACACCTAAACGAAAACGCCACGTCTCAATCAAGCCTAGAGTGTACAGAAACAATTGCTATTTGCCAGCCAAGTGTCGTGCAGCGAGGAAATATCGAAGAGCACATCATGGACATATAGCTGGAGAAGCAAGCCTCACGACAACATGGTTGTTCAGATAACAAACTCACACCGCAAAAAGACGGACGGAAGCACGGGATCAAAATCCACCACTAGAAACCCCAACCCCCCAACCCCCTACCAGGTCAGAGCAAGCAGCAACGAGGAACCTGACGAACCTTCAATCGTGGGTCTCGAAGCACCGGGTGATATTGCAGCCGTTTATCGAGTCGACTCGAACCCAACCCCTACATTTTGCAGGGTGCGGCGGGCGGGAAAAGCAAAATGTCCCTACTTTCACTTGCCCTATCGCCCAACCCACTGCCTGCTAACCAGCAGGTGCAGCTGTGAGCACACAACACTGCGATCTGTGAAGCAATCACGCCAACAAGTTCACGCAGACACGCAGTCGTTCACACACGTGACATGGTGCTATAGATCCCACTTCACTGCACGCACGCGTGCATCTCGCGACACCCCGAACAGCAGTCGCTCGCGACCTTCCGAAACGCAATCTAACATACGCAACAAGCTGACACGGTTACACGGCAGTCGCAAGAAGCATGTCAGTTCGAGAACTAGGTTTCCGCGTGTGTTGTAGGGATCCTACCGTGCCGCTGAGAATCCTGAACAAGAACCCAACCAAGCCCCGAAAACAAAACCAGCGAACCCAGCTGCCACCGAAAGCCCGAAGGATCTCTACCAACATCGACCCAATCGACCCATCTATGTTTACATGCTTTGCACCAACAACAATCGCCCTCGGCGACTTACAAAGAAACAGCGCGAAGCCTAACCAGGCAAGCACACCAGCTAGCGCCAGCATCCCCACACTTCAAAATTTTCGCAGGAAGCTGCTATCTGCAGTAACCTGCTGCACGGCGAGCAATGGCACTCGCTCAACACACAAGCACAATAACTGCAAGCAAGAGCTGTGACCCAGCCGCGCGCAGACGCAAGCGACACGCGCAAGTCAAGTAAACTGCAACACAAAGGCGCTGGAAACTGGAGAGCCCAACTTCACG